CCGTTGAAAGGTGAGGATGTTTGTAACTTAATGACGTGTGAGAATTGAGCCTGAAGACTGAGAATCTCGTTTGGTGTTTGTTGTGATGCAGCTGCTGTTGGTTGGGCGCGGGGCGGCATGAACTCGAACGTCCCCGGTGAAGAATGATAAGGCGCAAAGGTAGGCGCTTGGTTGTGTCGCCCGAAGGATGAGTTGTCGAGGCTCATCGGCGCTAATCCCATGTTTCCTCCATTGCTCTGTGTTGAATGCGCAGGTGTCCTTGTCTGCTGCTGCTGGTCGAAGTGCGACATGAAGCTGAAGAACCTTTCCATAAGGTTGGGGTCCACGCTTGAAGAGGGAGATGGAGTAACCATCTCTGGTACTCTTCCCGTTGTTTCTTGAGCAGTCCCGGTCTCTGTCTGCAGTCCTGAGGTGTGCAGACCAGAGTTGCCGTGTTGAGTTTCTTGGCCGCTGGGTGAGCCCGTAGAGACTTTCTTGCCCTTGCTGTCCATGTCTTGTAATCAATGAAGTCGTTGAATTGAGTTGAGTTGCAGGTTGGTGATAGAACGTAGTTGCTGGGAGTTTGGTCTCTGACCAGCTCTCATACCATGTTGGGCTGAGAAAAGCCCTTGGAATCTTTCCAGAGACTAAGTCCCAGCTGTAAAGACTTGAGACTTGGAGTAGTGCAGCGGAAGTTGAGGCAGTTGAACCCTTGTACTAGTATGTGAGAACAAGTGATTGATAAAAGAAGGCAAACATACAGCAATATATAGAAGATAAGAAACAGTTGTAGAGTACAGTTGCAGTAGCGGTTTATCGAGTCGTACAGCGACTCGATTGTCGCTTCGGTTACCATCCGTGCTGTTGTAACGGTCAGTCGCAACCTCCAGTTGCGACCCTTTGAGTCCCAAACCCTTCGTGTTCTTTGTCCGCCCCCTCGTGTAACCTCCGTTGACTCGCGTACCCCTTGCAATCTTCCTCGAGTGTAGTGTTACACTTCAGAAACGCGTCGTTTGATGTACTTTCAACAGTGAAAGCTTGTTTATGTCCTCTTGTAAAGGCAGCGTGCTTCATTTCATCTGGGTCTTCTGAGACATGTGCAGAAGGGGTTGGCGGTGGCGTTCAATAGATAGCTGGTGCTGATTAGGCGTGGGAGCGGCGGCTGCGTTTTGGAGTTGCATGGAGGCTTGAAGGAGTTGGTCATGCGCGATGGTAACGTAGAGCTCCTTGGCATTATCGCTGCGCCAACGGCCAAGTCACTTGAACAGCCGGTCGGATATCCCCAGGCTGGCTGCCGCTGTAGCAGTGCCCTTGCGAAAGGAGTGGGTGCCGAGGTGGGCGCTATCGAGGCCGGCCCTAGTGAATGCTTCAAGGCACCAGTTCCGGATGGTGGTGTACGAAGGTGTGTGGTCCTGTGGAGTTGCCGTGCTGCTGTTCCCGAAGACTCGGATCAATGGCCCGTGTGGGGTGGAGGTGTGACCCGCGAGGAGAAGAAAGTGTCGTGTGCAGCGAACCGGGCAGTATGGGCCGGAAGTGGCGGCGACCGGGATCCACGTGCCCCTGCTTTCCTGGTCGGTCTTGGAGTGCGGGATGAGCAGCCACATCGCCTCAGGCTCAAACTGCATATCATGCCATTGGAGGCTGACAAGGTCAGAGTAACGTAGGACGGCGGTGAACATAAGGATAGGGATGAGTCCTTTCTGGTACTCGGCCGTCCGGGTGGACTCCAGAGAAGGGCGAGCCATGGTGTGCACTTGGTGCAGCGACAAAGGTTCCTTGTTCCGGATGGGGCACGGGCCATGGCGTTTGGCAAATTCGCGCACTTGTAATGTAAATGGTCCAGTCGAGGGAGAGGGCTCGCCAGTCATGCGATGCGCGAAGGCGACGGCGGAGCATGTAAGCGATATGGAGGATGTGGTGGCCTGATGATTTAGTGCATGAATGAGGTAGAGTGCCAAGGTCATATCCGTTGCAGGCAAGTAGCTCAGCTTCACCTTCATGCAGAAGGAGCGAAATTTGAGCCAGTGGGGCTTATACTTGCGGATGGTGGAAGGGACACTAACATGGGTGATTACGTGTAGTAGTTGCGTTTGCAACTTCGTTATAATGCCTGAAAAGGTACAGCGTAGAGTACAATTATTATTAATTTTTATACGTGACATGCAGTGCAATCATCTGACTAGAAGGAAAGCCTTGCCCTGCGAAAGCGAGTGCGTGTGTGCCGGGGCGTAGGCATTGGCTGCCGTGGGTGAGGGGAATGTGTGCCGTTACTTCTGGCACCCAGGCGTCAGGTGCCTGTTAGAGGAGTGGCCACCATGATGCTCCCGACCACTTGGGAATGACCAAGGTCACCTCAGCGTGTGTGCGTTTAGCGTGCCGTAATGTGGCTGGAATGAGGTTGGGAAGGGAAAATGCAAAGCCGCACTCGTGCTCCCAGCTGAACGAAAAAACGTCAAACACTGCGGCCGTAGGGTGTGGAATCTTGGAGCAAAACCTCTTCAGCTGAGCGTTGTGCACATTCGCGAAGAAATCGATAGAGTGGGGACCCAGACGGCGATCCAAGAGCCGGACGACGTCTCCTGCTTCACTGCCGCCTCGCGCGACTGCTGCGCTTTCCTTCACCTTGGACTCTGGCGCCTCCCGGTGTTTCTTCCGCGACTCCACGACGCTGACGCCGCTGCCTGTTCCCGCTGCAGTTACTCTTGCTGACCCCTCCGGTGGTCCCGTCGTTGCCCGCAGTTCCACCTCCCTTCCCTGTCCGGCGGTTCCTTCAGGTTCGCTCACAGGTCTGCATATCCCCTCATTCTCCAGGAACCTAGTTGGTGTCGGCTGCCTCCAGGACCTTGGCGTCACCACTACGTTCCCTGGTCACGAGCGGTATGCTGTCTGTACCGAGGCCGCCACTGGTGCCCCCCTTACCACTTTCCCCCGGGACCCGGTGTCCGGCCTGTTCACACTTGACACCGCGACTTCCCCGGCTGGGTCTTCCCCCCAGGTCGCTGCGTCCACCCAGGTTGCTGCTGCGTGCTCCTGGCGGTCCCTCACTCACCCGACTCTCCTTTGGCACCACCGCCTTGGTCACCCTGCACTCCCGCGTCTGCGTCACATGTCTCAGCACGGTCTCGTCCTTGGTCTCCCAGGTTCGTTCCCCGAGTTTCCCTCCTCCCCCGCCCCCCCGTGCACGCCTTGTGTCGAGGGCCGGCTCCGCCGTGCCCCTCACTCCTCCTCGTTTCCCCCTACCACCGCACCACTGCAGACTCTGCACATGGACGTCTGGGGCCCAGCCCCGGTCCATGGGCCGCGTCGCGAGCGCTTCTTCCTAGTGCTTGTCGACGACTTCACGCGCTACACCACCGTCTTTCCCCTGGAGCGGAAGGCCGACGTGCCTGACGTTCTCATCCCCTGGCTTGTCTCTGCTCGTGTCCACCGCGGTCTCCCTGCCTTGCGCCTCCACTCCGACCGGGGTGGCGAGTTTGCCTCAGGTGTCCTTGGTCGCTTCTGTCGTGCGGAGGGCATCACCCAGACGTTTGCCCTGCCGGACTCCCCGCAGCAGAATGGGGTCGCTGAGCGACGCATCGGTTTGGTCATGGAGGTGGCTCGCACCTCCATGATCCACGCCGGTGCACCCCATTTTCTGTGGCCGTTCGCCGTGCGCTACGCCGCTCACCAGCTTAACCTGTGGCCGCACCCCCAGCGGCCGCCAGTTTCGCCGACCCTTCTGTGGACCGGGTCCCCTGGTGACGCGTCTGCGTTCCACGTCTGGGGCTGCCTTGCTCACGTTCGTGCCTCTGGCACGGACAAGCTCACTGCCCGCACCCTCCCCTGCGTCTTCCTCGGTTTCCCTCTTGACGCGTCCGACTGGCACTTCTACCACCCTCCGTCTCACCGCTTCTTTCACTCTCGCGACGTCACCTTTGACGAGTCCGTCTCCTTCTACCGCCGCTTCCCCCACCGTGGTCCCCCGGTTACTCCCCCCTTGTTCCTGGTCCCTCCTTCCCCGGTGGTCCCTGCCCCTCCCCCCCCCCGCCCCCCCGTCCGGCCCCCTCTGGTGTGTCTCACGTCACCCCCCTCCCGTCGGTCGTCCCGGTCGACGAGTCTTCTGACTCTGGTAGTCCTCCGGCGCAGTCCTCGCCGTCTGTCCCTCCCCCGGTGTCTCCTCCTCCACCGCCTCCGCAGCCGCCGTCGCCGCAGCTGCTGCAGCCGTCGTCTCCGCCGCCACCGCCGTCGCGGCCGTCGCTGCAGCCGCCGCCGCCGCCGCCGCCGTCGTCGCTGCCGCTGTTTGTGGACTCTGGGGGTGCTGGCGTTGAGGTGGGTACTAGTCCCGGGGCTCCTGTCGTGGCTTGTCCCGGCGGGCCTGGGGGTGGTACCGGTGCTGGCGGGGTTTCGGGCTCTGGGGGTGTCCCTTCTGGGGGTGCCGGTGTGGAGGGTTCGGGAGGTAGCCGTCGCGCAGCTTGTGGCCCTGGCGTTGGTGTTGTGTCGCCGCAGCAGCAGTCCCCGCCGGTGTCCGCCCTCCGTCTGCTCGGCCTTCCGTCCCCTGACCCTGCGCCTGTGCCTCACCTGCCTGTTAGGATTAAGGACGGAGTCTAGGTGAACTTAGGAGCTAGAATTACTCAAAATATAAATCCGAAATTCTGGACAGAAAAGTCGTCTTTACAAGAAACGACGTCGACGAAAAACTAGCCGTTGGAATGTCGCGAAACTTGGATATGTTGTAGCTCTTAATCTCAGCTACCGTTCCCAATTTGAATCACGTTGATTGATGAAGTATTCGCGACGCTATGGCTTTCGACGCATTAGGGGGTAAGCTGTAGGAGGAGAACTTAACTCAATCTCAAAGGTTCAATCAAAGTTCAAGAATCTTCATAGCTTTCGCGTTGTTGCTCCAATTGAAGAGATTCTTGTTGCGTCGGAAAGATCTTCTCAAGATCTATCATCACAAATACCTGCTCAAACAAAATAACACATAACACATTCCCAAACTCCAGAACACACACCACACAAATGCTTGCACATTCAAACCACACATGCAAGTTGAAAACATGGGATGGGAGGCAGACAGAATGTGATAGCATATGATGACATGACACAACAATCTCCCCCTCTGGCTGCCAACCATCATCCACCATACCACATCTCAAGCATGCATACTCAATGCACACTCATCCCAGCAAGCTTCATGCCCTTCCAATGATCCGCCTCCGCCAGACGCTTGGTGAAAATATCTGCTGCCTGCTGATGGGTCTTCACTATCTCCAGCCGCACCTCCTTATCAAGGATTCTCCTCACCCAATGCCACTTAGGCCTTATGTGTTTTGTCAGCCCATGCAGACAAGCATTCTTGGCGAGCTTCACAGCGGACTCATTGTCACAAAACACAACTGTCGGCTTCTCCTGACCAACTCCCAACTCCTCCAACAAACGCCTTAGCCACACTACTTCCTTGGCCCCATGGTGTAAGGCCATGTACTCAGTCTCACATGAAGACAATCCCACCTCATTCTGCTTCTTGCTGCGCCAGCTCACAGCACCACCTCCTAGCAAGCACACATAACCCCCAATGCTGGTGCCATCCGCTTTCACTGAGTTGAAGCTAGCGTCAGTATAGCAACTCAAGAGCATCTTTCCACTCTTCACATCTGCAGCACCTCTCTGCAACCGCTGCCTCACTCCACTGTACTCCAATCCCACTGATGCCGTAGCACTCACATAGCGGACCAACCTCTTGGCCGCTTCCAGCTGCTCATGACTAGGGCGTGAGACCACACTAGCCAACCGTGATGTAGAAAATGCAATGTCAGGCCGTGTATGATTTGCAGCATAATTCAGCGACCCAACCATCGAATGAAACAGCTTCCTGTCACTCTCACCCACTACCTCCTCATCAGCACATGGCTCCACAGTAAACCCTGAAGGTAGTGGTGTTGCTGGCTTTCCCCCATCTTGCAGCCCATACTTCTCAGCCAGCCCCTCACAGTACTTCCTCTGGTGCAACCTCAGCACACCCTTTTCCACATCTCTCTCCACGTGCATCCCCAAGTAGTACTTCACCTCACCCATCTTGGAGCACTTGAACTGCATCTCCAGCATCTGCTCTGCGCTGTCCAGCAAAGCAGTGGATGCAGAAAAGAGAAGGATATCATCCACATACACCAAGAGCATGAGGATTTCATCCTTCTCCTGCAGCAGGAACAGGCTGGGGTCACACTCACTCTTCTTGAAACCCCCAGCCAACAGCGCCTCCTCCAACTTGTGATACCATGCACGAGGCGCCTGCTTAAGGCCATAGATGGCCTTCTTCAGCCTGCAGACCCTGCCGCTCCCGTCATCCAGCCCCTCTGGCTGCTTCATGTACACCTCCTCCAGAATGATCCCATTCAGAAAGGCAGTCACAATGTCCATCTGCCGAATCTTCCATCCCAGGAGTGCAGCTATCGCCAACAGCACCCTCAGTGTTGTTCCTTTCCCCACAGGAGCAAACACCTCATCATAGTCCTTCCCCTTTGTCTGCTGAAACCCCCGTGCCACAAGCCTAGACTTGTAGCGGGTCAGCTCCCCTTCAGGTCCATACTTGTGCCTGTAGATCATCTTGGAAGTGATTGCCTTCTTTCCAGGAGGCAAGTCACACAGGTCCCATGTCTCGTTCTCAATTAGGGACCCGAACTCCTCATCCTCACTCGCCTTCCACTTCTCCCCATTTGGTCCATTCAAGGCCTCCTCTCGAGTCTTGGGCTCAGGGATTGGTGCCCAGTAGCAGTGAGCGATCTCATCTTCCTCAATCTGCTCAACCACACTCCCAGCCTGCACCACATTTGGCTTGCCTCTTCCCCCATAGGTCAGCCTCACAGGAGGGCGCACATCCCTCCTAGGTCGCTCAGGCGGGTGTGGAACTCGAGGTGGAGACTCATGTTGCTGTTGCTGCTCCACTTCAGCTGCTCCCCCTTCTTCAGTCACCCCAGATATCTCCTCCTCAGACACTGCAACCTCCACCTGCCTTGAAGGCTGCTGCAACTCATCTGCCTCCACAATGAGTGGTGTAGATGGAAGCTTCTGTTGCTGCTGCTTCCATTCCTTATAGTACAGGGACTCAAGAAACTTCACATCCCTTGACACTGTCAGCTTCTGGATGGTCAAGTCCCATAGAAGCCATCCCTTGTGATCCTTTGCAATCCCCAAGTGCACACCCCATCTTCCAGAAGCCTCCAACTTCCCTCTTTTCTCCTTAGGCACATGAAACACTACCATGCACCCAAATGCCCTCAGCATATTCACAGCTGGAGCACTCCCATACCACTTGGTATATGGGATCCACTCCTTATCCCCAACTGTAGCCAGCACTCTATTCTTCACAAGGGCGACCTGCCTCAGTGCAGACACCCAAAACGGATCAGGTAGCCCTGCACGCCCAAGGAGAGTGCGTGCCCCCTCCTGCAGGGTCCTGTTGAACCTCTCAGCCACGCCATTCTGCTGCGGGTTGTAGGGCACTGTCAGTTGATGCTGGATCCCCTTCCTCTTCAACTCCCCCTCAAAATCAGCTCCAATGAACTCCCCACCATTGTCACTGCGGATCACCTTCACCTTGTGTCCACATTCCCTCTGAGCTCTCGGCATCCACTCCTTAAGGACAGCCGCTGCCACCTCCCCCTTGCTCTTCAAAGGGTAAACCCACACTGCCCGAGTGTGGTCATCCACAATTGTCAAGAAATAGCGGCTGCCTGAGAGGGAAGGGGCTCTTGTGGGCCCCACCACATCCATGTGCACAAGTGCAAGTGGGGTCTTGGCTGGTCCTGTAGTGCTGTTGAAGGGGAACTTGGAGAACTTGGTCTCCAAGCATGTAGGGCAGCTCCCAATCTCCTTCACTCCCCCTTTCACCTCCAAGCCCTTCAGGCTCCCATCCTTCACCAACTTCTGCAGCATAGGGAAGTTCACATGACACAGCCTCTCATGCCATGTCTCCCAATCGGCCTCTCCACTCCTTGGTGAAGCCTTAGCCCATGCCGCACTTGCATCCACACCAGCAAGCACCTCACCATGTGTCTGCTGCTGCTGCACTTTCTTGACTGCTTCCAGGACCCCATCAGTTGGTGCAGTTGCATCTCCTCCTGCTGTTGCCTTTGCCGCTGCTGCCGTTGCTGCTGTTGGAGTCTTCCCATTCCATGGGATGATGGGCAGCTGCCACAGGTCCTTGATGCAGCTGGTCTCCTCTTCCAGACTCCACAGCACCTTCTTCCCAAGCTTAGCATGGCAGCTGGTTGGTCCAAAGGTCACTTCGGCCTTGCTCTTCTGCAGTCGTCGCACAGAGAGAAGGTTAGCAGACAAGCCTTCAACCAGCAGAACATTCCCAAGCCCCACAAGCTCCCCATTAGCTCCCTTAACCTTGGCATTCCCAACACCAATCACGGGGAGCAAAGCACCTGACGCTGCTGCCACATACTTAATCTTCCCAGGGGGTTTTACCTCATCAAGCAAATCTGCCCGTGGAGTCATGTGACTGGTGCAACCCGAATCAATCACCCAGTGCGTGAGAGGGTGCATCACAACCTTTCCCACAGATCCCACATCACCCTCATGCCCATGCACATCCTCAACCATGAGATACATCCCAGGATAGGCGTTACCTTGTGCACCTTCACCTTGTGCACCTGAGCCTTGCACAGCGCCACCTTGTGCGCGTTCACCACTTGGCGGCTTCATGCCTGGAGGTGACCATCCCTCCGGCCTGCTGAAGCACTTGAACCAAGGATGCCCGACCTTCTTGCAGTACCAGCAGGTGCCCTCCATTCTGGTACTCCCCCTGCCACTGGAGCTCCCATGCCCCTCATTATAGTCACCTCGGCCTCTACCTCTGCCAAAGCTTCTCCCACGGCCTCGGCCTCTCCAACCCCCTCTTCCTCTGCTGCGCCCTGCAGCTCCATACCCCTCAGCAGTCTTAGTGGCAGCACCGCCTCCCACATGGCGTCTGCGGAAGTCCTCCTGCAGAATCTGCTGCCTTAGCCACTCAGGTGTCCATTGATCTTGCTGAGAGTTGAGGGTGGGGATGAGGTTGTCCCAAGAGTTGTCCAACACCGAGATGATCTTGGTGCACTGCTGCAGCTGAGATACACTGCTGCCCGCTGCTGCCATCCTTGCATAGGTGTCCTTGATCTTGTCAAGGACCGGCTTCACATCGTCCCCTGGTCGCATGGAGATGGCAGCAAGTTCCTTCTCGAGCACGATCACCATCAGGAGAGTGTTGGGCTGAATCACATCGCGTAGTAGTTTCCACGCCCTTGGACCCGAATCATCCGCTTCCACAAGATCCTTGATGTGCTCGAACATCTCCTTGTTGACCGATTGAAGGATGAGGTCGAAAAGCACCGTGCTTTTCTCAATCCACCGTTCACGTGCTTCGCCTTCTTCCGGCATCTTCTCTTCCCCAACAGCAATCTTCAGTAGCTTGTAGCGTTTGAAGGCACTCCTCATCCGTCCGCTCCATTCCTCATAGTTGGAGCCATCCAAAGCTTCAACTTTTGATGGCGGCGGCTCACTTGTCTTCTCAGCTACAGCTCCTCTTCCATTAGCATCTCCTCCTCTCTCATTCATCTTCTCCTTGAGAAATGACGAATTTCAGCCCCCCTTTGCTGTCCACACTCAGCTCCCTCGATATTTTCACAAGTGTCGGCGTCCACGAAATTTCGGCAGAGTTTCCCTTAGCGGAAGACACATCCAACCTTTAGAACACCACTTAGGCACACCCACAGGCCATGGTGGGTCTAGAAGGGTCTTCACACTTCTGTAGACTCCTCTCAACGTCCTTAATACAGCTCTGATGCCACTTGTTAGGATTAAGGACGGAGTCTAGGTGAACTTAGGAGCTAGAATTACTCAAAATATAAATCCGAAATTCTGGACAGAAAAGTCGTCTTTACAAGAAACGACGTCGACGAAAAACTAGCCGTTGGAATGTCGCGAAACTTGGATATGTTGTAGCTCTTAATCTCAGCTACCGTTCCCAATTTGAATCACGTTGATTGATGAAGTATTCGCGACGCTATGGCTTTCGACGCATTAGGGGGTAAGCTGTAGGAGGAGAACTTAACTCAATCTCAAAGGTTCAATCAAAGTTCAAGAATCTTCATAGCTTTCGCGTTGTTGCTCCAATTGAAGAGATTCTTGTTGCGTCGGAAAGATCTTCTCAAGATCTATCATCACAAATACCTGCTCAAACAAAATAACACATAACACATTCCCAAACTCCAGAACACACACCACACAAATGCTTGCACATTCAAACCACACATGCAAGTTGAAAACATGGGATGGGAGGCAGACAGAATGTGATAGCATATGATGACATGACACAACACTGCCGTCTCCTCCTCTTCCCGTCTACGGCCCCGCGTTCCCTCCGTCGGACTCGTCCCCGGCTCGTTTTCCCCCTCGTTCCCCACCAGTGTCCCCCCCTCTGTCTCCTGACCCGACGCCTCCCTCTCACGTCTGGTCTCGCCGCCCCTCCCGTGCTCGTCCTGTCTCCCCCGTCCCGCGCTCTCACCCTATGTTGCTCCGGTCCCACGCGTCTCGTCCTCCCCTCCTCCCGTCTCCTCCTCTGTCCTCTCTTGTCGTTGCGTCTCCTCCTCTGTCTGACTACTTTCGTGCTGCTCGTCCTCTTGTTCCTCGGGTCCTTGCCTCTCTGGTTACAGACCCGTCTGTTCCAGTGTCGAGTCTTGACGCCCTTGTCGCTGCGGTCGCTGACTTCGCCTCTACCCGCCGCCTTGACTACGCCACCGCTCTGGTCTCTGACCCTGCCTGTCCTCCGTCTGTCGGGGGTGCTCCTGCCCTCGGCAGTGACGTCCTGGAGGACCGCCAGTTTGAGCTTGCTTTCCTCTCCGAGGCTGCTCCCCATCTCTGTTCCATGCTGCTAGTCCCTGAGGGTGACCCAGACGCTTTCGACATCCCGACCCCTCGTACTTACGCTGAGGCGGTTTCGGGACCCTGGGCCTCTCAGTGGATAGCTGCCATGGAACAGGAGATGGCATCTTGGAGATCCACCGGCACCTTCGTCGACGCAGTTCCCCCACCTGGGGTGAACGTGGTCGATGGCCGTTGGCTCTTCAAGGTGAAGCGCCCTCCTGGAGAGCCGCCTGTGTTCAAGGCGCGCTACGTGGCTAGAGGCTTCAGTCAGCGCGAGGGGGTGGACTTCTTTCAGACTTTCGCTCCTACGCCGAAGATGACTACTCTTCGGGTTCTGTTACACGTAGCAGCTCAGCGTGACTACGAGCTTCACTCCCTCGACTTCTCCACTGCCTTCCTTCAGGGCAGCCTTCACGAGCAGGTCTACCTGCGTCGTCCTCAGGGCTTTACTGGCACTTTCCCCCCTGGGACCCAGTGGCTTCTGCGGCGCCCAGTCTACGGCTTGCGCCAGGCCCCTCGTGAGTGGCACGACACGCTGCGTGCTACCCTTGCTGACCTGCAGTTCTTTCCGTCCTCTGCAGACCCCTCGCTCTTCGTTCGTGCTGGCCCGACTCCGTTCTACATCCTTGTCTACGTAGACGACCTGGTCTTTGCCACAGCAGACAGGGACGCACTGGCCTCCGTGAAGGCAGAGCTGCTGAAGAGACACACCTGCACTGACCTTGGAGAGCTGCGCCGTTACCTTGGCTTGCAGATCTCCAGGGACAGAGCCGCGCGCACCATCACCCTGACTCAGTCACACTTGGTGCGCCAGGTCCTTCAGAGGTTCGGCCTTCAGTTCTCCTCCGCACAGCCCACCCCTCTTCCTCTGGACCACAGACTCTCTGCTCCAGTTCCTGAGGAGTCGGTAGATCCCAGTGGTCCTTACGCTGAGCTAGTGGGTTGCCTCATGTACCTGATGACTTGCACTCGCCCAGATCTCGCATACCCTCTCAGCATCCTGGCTCGTTTCGTGGCCACAGGCAGACACCGACCTCAGCACTGGTCTGCTGCTAAGAGGGTTTTGCGTTATCTTGCAAGTACTTCGGGCATGGGGTTAGTGCTAGGCGGACGCAGGCCAGTGGTCCTTACTGGACACACAGACGCTTCTTGGGCAGACGACACCGAGACGCTCAGGTCTTCCCAGGGCTACTGCTTTAGCCTTGGCTCAGGTGCTGTCTCGTGGAGAGCTACCCGCTCCTCGTCTGTTGCCCAGTCCAGCTGTGAGGCTGAGATCTACGCCGGTGCCATGGCGGCACAGGAGCTCCGCTGGCTGACCTTCTTGCTCACAGACTTAGGTGAGCGGCCTAGCTCTGCCCCGGTCTTGTACGCTGACAACAGGGCCATGATCCTCCTGTGTCAGGAGCCTCGACTCGAGGGCAGAGCGAAGCACATTCAGCTGCGGTACTTCCTCCTGCGCGAGCTACAGCAGCGTCGCCAGGCTCGCGTATTACACTTGGCCTCCGGTGCCAACACAGCTGATATCTTTACGAAGGCGCTTGCGCCTAAAGATCATCAGCGGCACTGTGTACAGCTTGGTCTGGTTCCTGTAGTCCCTCACTTACTCGGGCCTTGACTTTGTACTGTCCTATATATATATGTGTGTACACTCAGACTGGACTTGTGTCCTCTCACAGTGGTTGGACTAGTAGTGCCGCCCTGTACTTGTTCTTGTCTTGTCTGTACTCTTTCTGACTGGTCTTTTAGACCCTTGTCTCAGAGGCTGGACTAGTAGTGCCGCCCTGAGCTGCTTGTCTATGACATTCCCCTATGCAGTCCAGGGGGTGTGTCAAACATGTTTATTGATTATGTTTGTATAGACTGTATAGGGTAACCTCCCAGAGGGTACAACATTTAGGTATATGTGCATGTACTCTCTAAGTCTATCATCAATTCATTTTCTAGTTCTGAGAGGGGGGGGGGTTGGGGAAGGGGCGTTGGGGAGAGGAGGAATGCATCAGACGAAAAAATCCGCGCTATCTGAATTCTCAGACGAAATTCTACACCTAGTCTGTACTTTCAGACGAAATCTTATGGCTTATCTGGACGATCAGACGAATTAATTTAGCCCGTAAAAAAATCAGATGAAAGAGAAAAAACAGGTCTCATTTTCAGACCATCAGACCGATTTCGTCTGATATCTGAGACCCTGTATATAATGTACGTGTTGGGCTGTGAAATGCCCTTAGGATCTTTCCAGAGACTAAAGTCCCAGTAAAAAGGAGACTTGAGTAGTGCAGCGGAAGTTGAGTAGTTGAACCCTTGTACTAGTAAATGAGAACAAGTGATTGATTAAAGGAACAAGCATACAGCAATATATAGAAAGTAGGAGAGTAAAGCAGTTGTAGAATACAGTTGAAAGAGCGGTTATCGAGTCGCACAGCGACTCGATTGTCGCTTCGGTTACCATCTTTGCAGTTGTAACTGTCAGTCGCAACCTCCAGTTACGACCCTTCGAGTCCTTTCGTGTTCTTTGTCCATCCCCTCGTGTAACCTCCGTTGACTCGCGTACCCGTTACGACCTTCCTCGAGTGTGGTGTTACACTTCAGAAACGCTTAAGTCCTTGAGATATTTCCAACACTCCCCTTTGTTTCTGGAGTACTGACGTGTTCAGATCCGGCGACGTTTGTCTGCCCGGTCAGCAGTATGCAGTAATCGAACTTTGCCTTTGCCAGTTTCTTCGTCAGGTAGTCTGCGGCCATTTCTGTCGTAGGTCAGAAACTGAGTTGAAGTCTCCCCTTCGCGATTTCATCCTTGACGAAGAAGTATCGCACGGCGATGTGCTTGGTTCGGTTGGCGAAGCCGTCCTTGTTCGCGATCTTAATCGCAGATTGGTTGTCGCAGAGGAGTGAGAAGACGGGCAGGGTCGCAATCTTTGCTTCCTGAAGTAACTCTCGCAGGTAAAGTCCTTCCTTGGTCGCAGTGCAGAGGGCAATATATTCTGCTTCAGCCGAAGATAGTGCGATTAGTTCCTGTTTGCTCGACTGCCAGGAGATAGTCCCGATGGGCTCTAGTCGGTAGATGTAGCCTGTTCTCGATCGTCGGTTTTCCCTGTTTCCCGCGTGGTCGGCGTCGACGTATCCGAGTAGTTGTACGGACGATGTTGTTTCTTTACTGTAGGTAAGTCCGGTCGTCGGCGTAGAGACGAAGTAGAGTAGTGCTCGATTAAGTTCCTCGAGATCTTCTTGTTCCGGCTGCTTCAGATGCGTCGCCAGTTGACTCGCGCTGTAGGATAGGTCAGGTCGGCAGGTTACTGCTGCGAACAGTTGGCATCCAAGCTTCTGCTGATACTCCTGGATTTGCTTCGCGGGGAGTTTTGCGGAGGTGTTGTTGTTGTTCCCGTAGCGGTAGGGAGTCGTGACTGTAGTCGGCGTTAGTCCGAATTTCTTCGCGACAATGCCTGCGTACTTTCCAGCGTATAGATAGAACGCCGAGTTGTCTTCGACGACGTTTAGACCCAGGTACTGGGTCACGGTGTCAGACACTGTGAGTGTCAAGTCACTTCTCAGCTCCCTTTCAAACCAGGTGGCGATGTCGGTAGTGGAGCCGATGTAGAGCAGGTCGTCGACGTAGACGATGTGTATGATAAATTCCTTTTCTTTCTGTAGTCGGTAAATGCCTTGGTCGTGCGGCAGCTGTAGGAATCCGATTCTGACGAGGCGACCGTGAAGGTGTTGCTGCCAAAGCCGCGGGGCTTGCTTGATCCCGTAAAGGAATTTTATCAGCTGGCACACTTTTGTGGGGTCGTCGATGAATCCGTGGGGCTGCTCGACGAAGATCTCGGTGTCCACAGGTGCGTACAGGAAGGCATTTGCGACGTCGATCTGGCGCAGTGGTAGTTTCTTCGTGGCCGCGACGGCGAGTAGAATGCGCAAGGAGGTGTGACGGGAGACTGGGGCGAATGTTTCTGTGTAGTCAGTTCCGTATCGTTGATCGAATCCTCGTACGACCCAGCGAGCTTTGAATCGTTCGATGGAGCCGTCCGCATTGGTCTTGATGCGGTATACCCATTTTCCCGAGAGAACGTTCTTCCCGTTGATGTTCATTCCAGGTACCAGCTTCCATGTATTTCGGTCTTGCAGAGCTTTCAGTTCTTTTTCCATTGCCTCCTTCCATTTCGCCTCGTGTTCCCCCCCCAGAGCCTGCGACAGAGTCGTTGGCTCGCGCGGAGATGGCGGCGGCGGATGCTGGACGGAGACCCATAAGCCGAGTATCTGCAGTCCCGTGGGTGTGTGTCGAGGGGAATTTTCATTCCCCGAATAGGCTGCTTCGTCACCATCTTCTGGATCAGGTAAGAAGTTCGGGCCGATGCGTTCTGAGACATTTGTGTCGACCGGGTGAGGTGTAACGTAACCTTGGTCAGCGAAGTGGTAGAGGGTGTCGAGGTTGTTGCTATCGAGGGGACTGTCTTCGTCGAGTGGTACAGGCACGGAATAGTAAGGGAGTGGTCCGGCAGCTTCCAAAGCTCCAGGTATGTCTTCTTCTGCTGCGTCAGCCTCGGCAGCACGGTCAGCGAAGGAACGAAGGCCCGCGAAGCCGTCGGTGGGGTCGTCTGTGTTGGCGACGTTGTCCAGGTAATGCTGCAGTGTCAGTCGTTCGTAGAAGATCACATCACGTGATGCCATGGTGTTTTTGTCTTGAATGTCGAGGAGTTTCCATGCTTGGAAATGTTTGGCGATGACGAGGTGTAGTCCCCACCTTGCTCGTTGAGTGAAACGTCCTGCTTGGGCTGTGTGGGGTCTGTACTGTACCATGCAGCCGAAAACCCGAAGTAATTTTGTGCTGCCCCTTTTTCATGTCCACAGCAGGTGCGGTGATGCGTTGTTGGGAAGCGAGGACGAGGATAACAAATTGTGCAGGTGGACTGCATGGGTCATCGCGTCTGGCCACAGTGCGTTGGGCAGTCTCATCCCTAGGAGCAGCTTCCGCATCGTTGTCTGCAAGGTCCGTTTCATTCTTTCTGCGACCCCCTGCTGCTGGTGAGCGTAGGGCAGAGACACCAGTCGTCTGATTCCTCTTTCCGCCAAGTAGTTCCTGAAGCGTTGTGACTAGTATTCGAGTGCGCCGTCTGACTGGAAGCTCTTGAGCTTCGTTCCTGATTCTCGTTCAGCGATGGGGAGCCATGTCGTGAAGGCTTCGAAAGCTTGATCGCGTGTTTTGAGGTTGTAGTGCCAGACATATCTTGTTGCTGCATCGATGAACGTGATGACATAGTTGAAGTCGGCTTCAGTATCGTCTCGAGGCATGTTTAAGATGTCGCTGTAAACTTTTTCCATCGGTGCGTATGCAGGTGCAGTTGGATTGTGATGTGATGGAAAAGGTTGGTGGGGAAGATCTGCTTCGGGGCACGTGAAGCACCGTGCGCGAGGTCGTCGAAGTTCTTGGCCGCTCGTCGTAAGAAGAGCGTTTCGTTCTAACACTTCGGCTTGGATGGTTTGTAGTACCGTGCTGTTTGCAGGATGCCCAAGGCGTTGGTGCCAGATGTCGTCGGAGGCGCGATGGCCGGGCGAGCGTTGGTACATGTCGGTGTTGGAGAAGAACGCGACGACCGTGGCGAGACCTCGGCAGACTTCTCGTGTGATGGGCATAAGTTGATCTGCTTCGGTTGGTGGTCCTCGGATTGCTGGTGATGGTACTCGGCTGGGTCTTGCTGCTGCTACTGCAGGTGATATTTGGGAAGGGACGCTTGCTGGCACTTGTCTTTCTTGTCTGATGTCTGCTAACGCTCATTTTCTCTCTGCCGCATGTATGGTGTTGGAGTACCAGAATCCATCTGGGGTGAAGTCGGGCTCAAGGTCTCTCTGCTCCCGCCATCGCCGAGCTAATTGCTTGATGAGCTGCGTGAAGACGAATGGTGCTGTGGCGAGGCCGAACGGCAAGGATCGGAAGGCGTATGTGCGCCCGTCGAATTCAAAGCCGAGGAACGTCCAGCACGAGGGATGGATGTCGACATGGTGATAGCCTGATTTCAAGTCGATGGAGAACATCCAGTCCCCTTGGCGAGCAAGGTCCGCTACACGGTTGAGTCCCTCATATTTAAATTTGGGGACGATTAGTGCGTCCTTCACCTTTCGGAGATCCTGAATCAGGCGACACTTGTCTTTCTGCTCGACCACGTGGAGTGGGCTTATGCATCTCAGTTTCGCCGCAGGAATTTGGATGGCCGTGCCGATCTCGGTGAGTTCAAGGATGGCCGTACGCGTGAATGCTTCGTGGATGCGTGCGCTGGCATGGTTGCGATCGTGAAAGGCCGGCGGCGGCCCGAGTTTCCATGGCATCCAGTATCCTTTGGCAATGACTGAGAGTATGAAACTGCTAGTGCACCACGAGCTCCACCAAGCGAACGTGGTACGTAGGCGGCCACACATTTGGGTGACCATCTTTTCAGTAACTGCGTATTCGTAGGGGTCACTGTTGTGTGCGCATTCGCGAAGTCGGGTGCTTGTGGGAGTGACGTCATGCAGGGAGAAGCAAGGGATGAATCCTTAAGTTTATCTGCAGGGCTGAGGCCTGCCGGAAACCTAGAGCATGGGGGGGGGGGAGTGTGAAGCCTAGTGGCTAAGGAGGGCGTGCAGGACAGAGGTGCCACATGCGAGCAAGATGCTTAGGTTCGGTGGTTGCCTGCGCTTTGAGCGAGTCTGAGCGGCGTGACCTGCGTGTATGTCGATTTGCGCGTCCGCGCATGCCGAGCTTGCGTTCGAACCTGCGTCCCGACGTTTGTGCATGAGTTTCCGCTTATTGTCCTTCCCTTTTGGCCCTCATATTCCCACAACTTGTGCCTTCTCTCGCGCTTCTACTCGCGAACGCATGTTACCCTCTATTGCCTCTTTCACTTGCGTTCTCATTTCTTGGGTTTTGAGACTCAACGCCCGTGATTTTTTCCTGTCTTTCCTCTAGTCACCTCTTGCATGCTTGTGTGGCATGCGTGCGGTGTTTTTGTTGCTGTTCCTGTTCGTGGGCCATACCGCGTGCGTGCGCGCATGCTTCTGTGACTTTTTGTTTTTTGTTTTTTTTTTTTCCAATGCCAAGCTGGGCAGCCCTGGATGAGGTTGGTGTGGCTGTTCCTGTATGCCCACGGAGGGGTAATGCTTGGGGTCCAGGGTCTAGCACACCCGGTTGGAGGGTAGGCGCCTCGTGAGGCTCGCATAATGCTTGAATTCTGTTTTTTTTTTTTTTTTTTTTTTTTTGCATGTCCAATCGACGAGCAACTATGTGAGGGTAAGTGGAGGGCCATTGGTGTTCCTGATGGCCTACCTTCAGTGGCCGGGGGTGCTGCATGACCTGTAGCGAGGGTTGAGCCACCCACTATGCTTCCCCGTTTCGTGCTCGATCCTTTTTTTTGTTTTTTTGTTTTTTTTTTGCTGCGCCTCTTTTGGTGCTGCTTCCCCATTTCCCTGGTTATATTTAGGGACCAAGACCTGAAAAAAACGGAGGACCGCGGCTCCTTATTTTAACCAAGCTTCATCTCTACTCAACCATGCTCCTAGGCATGCAAAGTCCGCCTTGCAAGGTCGGGCTATCATTTGGGACCGAGGGGGTATGTTCCCCTTCCCTTGCTCTGAGCCTAGGGCCTTCAATTGGCCTACACTAGGGCTGGCCCTCTGCCACCCGTGCCCCTAAGGGGTGGGCCCAATGGCCTACACACACACCGGGTGCCTTGCGCCTTGCGCCACTTGCGCAAGCGCCCATGGCCCGACCCCTAAAACACTGGTGCGGGTCCTTGGCCACCATGCCCAATCGCCGGGCAGCCGCTGGCCACATGCCCCGGCTGGCCACAGCGGAAGCAAGTGCCTCGGAAGCCACGGAATTCTCCCGTAGGTGGCGGACCACGCTTTGGCACGAACGGCATGGGCATGCGACCGCCTCCGCGATTGCCACGAGCAAACCCGCCCTCAGCGCGGTCCATTGCAGCCACGTCAGCGACGGCCTGTTTGAAAGGCCTTGAGGTAAGCAGACTCTTCTGCTGGTACAGCTTGAAACGCTTGGCCGTGCAGAAGTCGGAGGCGTCTTCGACTTGGAGAACTTCGAAGCGTCGCGATATGAGGGCGAGCGCGTCGGCGAGGAATTCGAGGCCGCCCGGCGCGTCGCCGTGCTGCATCTTGAACTCGGCGTGCTTCAGGTATGCCCGAAGGTCCTCCAGGACTTCCGCTTGCTCGCGCACAGCCGTGTTGAGGAAGAACGCCGCCGAGAGGGTGGTGTTAGTGGTCGGGAGTGGTGGGAGGTGCTCCATGGGAATTGAATTTGCAGCAATGCCGGGAACCTCACCAGCGTCGTTGTCGGAGTCGTCGCTGTCGTTGTCGGCCACCGGGGTAGGCGGGATGCTGGCGACGGCGTCTTTGGCGAGGCGTGGCGTCTTGGTTCCGCGTGTGGCCTTTTCTGTTTTTGCAGGTTCTTTTTTAGCAGATTCAGAAGCAGCAGGTTGAGCAGTTTCGGCGGCCGTAACACTCGTCGCCTGCTGCTGTAACAGCGTCAACAGCGCGTTGACCTGTGCAGGGGTCAACGACGGGGTCAATGTCGGGGTGGGCGGCACGTCAGACGAGGCAGCCGCGCGCCCCCTTTTGCGCTGGCGAGCAGGACCCGCCACTTGGGGGGCTTGCGCGTGCTGCTGCTCGGCGTCACGCGCGAGTGGCTGGCTCTGCTCAGCCACTTGCGCGTGTGGCTCGGAAGGGGGCGGGGGCGCGTCAACAGGCTGATTGTTGACCTCGCCCCCTCCCAGAAGAACGTCAACCCCAGTTGGGGCAGCCGCCCTTCTTCTGCCCGACGCTTGTTACGCCGGTCGCCCGCAATTTCCGGGGCTTGGCGAGTAGACTCAGAATTGGGGTGGCCGGTGACGACGTTGGACTCGCCGCGATTATTCGTAGTCGGAGCCATGACGGATTGGTGAAACTTAAAAATATCGGAAAGAAGAGTCGAGGGAGACTCGCCGCGAGGCAAAGTTCTAGTCTTAGCCAGCTTGAACGGGAGAAAAGCTAGAGGGGGAAAGTTGACTGAGCCGTTTGAAAAATGAGAGACGTGTGTGGAGGTAAATGAGCTCCAACCCACGTATATGTAATTGGAGAAGGGTGAGTAGCGCGCTTCGACGATGCCCAAAGCTTCAGTACAATCAGCTTCGCTTTCACAATACACAATTCTTGAAAAACACAACGTGTGTTAAAAAATTATATTTTTTTCAGGGTTCGCAGGTATCAATCAGAGTCCTGATTTCACCATTTTCTCTCCATCATTTTATAACATTTTGGCCATTAAAACCACAGGCTAGAATAGCAAAGGGGGGTGCACTTGAAAATCTAGTTTTTTTTAGGGTCAGAGGAAAGAGCCCACTTTCCAGTGGTACACCTACCCCCACGCGAAAAAACGAATGCTGCGATTTTGCAGCGCGAGGTGATTGGATGACGGTGCAAAGCGGATCGTAACCCCCCTGTTTAGCACCCCGCGATAAACTCAAGGGTTGCAATGCTCAACCAAAACTAAGTCCTTGCGACAACCCGCCATCCAGGCAGACTTTCAAGTGAGCCCCAGGTGTGCTATTGCTTTCCAAACGTTGAAGACCCCGTCACCTACGCTAGCTTAGAGCAGCTCCTGCCAAAATTCCACGCTCTTAAAAATCGTCCAGCGCGAGGACAAGCAGGAGTAGTCCCCCGCGTGCGCGTGACCCTTTAGAAGCGAGAAAAGACCCCATCTCGTGCAGTAGCGGCGGCAATACGGGGTGGAAGCATTATAGGGAGCCAAACCGTCCCTATTGACAACCCTAGCTCGCGTAGACTATTAGGCAGCAAGCCACGGGTGCTTGTAACACGGCTAGCAACACGTGGGCAAGACCGCCCAGAAGTTAGCGTCCCTTTCGTGAAGCATAGTGAGCCCCTCCCTCGACGCCGTGGCCCGCCAGTTGCGCGAGAACTTAGTCCACGGCGTCCAGTTAGCACTAGTGTTGAGGATCCGTCCCTTCCCCTATTCTCCAGAGTACGGCCCAAAGAGGTGCTCGAATAGGGGGATTTCGGGACGGCGAAAAGCTAAAAGGGGGGATGCGAAATGGGGATAACAGCGGAAGAGGAAGATGGGTGGGCGGGATGAGAGAAACAGGAGCACGGATCATGGAAAGAGGTTGAACGGTTGGGAGAACGAGGCGGGCGAGCCGGGGAAAGAGAGGGAGAGGAGAACGGAATGAGGGAGAGAGGAGAGTGGAAGGGGGAGAGCGAGTGGAATGAGGGGAAGAGGAGAGCCGAATGAGGGGGAGAGGAGAGTGGAAAAGAGGGGGAGAGAAGAGCGGAATGGGGGGGAGAGGAGCGCGGAGTGGGGGGAAAAGGCGAGTGGAATGAAGGGGGGAGGAGAGGCAAATGAGGGGGAGAGGAGTGAGGAAGGCAGGGAGATAGGGGCAGGGGAATGGGGAAGGCAGGGAGAAAAGGGACAGGGAAATGTGGAGGGCAGGGAGAAAGGGGACATGGAAAGGGGGAAGGCAGGAAGAGGGGCAACAAAGGGCAGGGAGAGGGGCAACAAAGGGCAGGGAGAGGGGCAACAAAGGGCAGGGAGAGGGGGAACAAAGGGCAGGGAGAGGGGGAACAAAGGACAGGGAGAGGGGGAACAAAAGGCAAGGAGAGGGGGAACAAAAGGCAAGGAAATGGGGATCAAAAGGCTGGGAGAGTGGGAATGCTGAGTAGGAGGAAGGGTTTTAATCTTTGGGTTTCAAGATTGTACGGCTTTTTGTCTGCCCCGTCCTATTCCTTCCATTCTTTCCACTCCCTACTGTTCCCCCCCTCTCTGCTGCTCCCCTGCTCTCTGCTGTTCCCCCCCTCTCTGCTGTTCCTCCCCTCTCTGCTGTTCCCCTGCTCTCTGCTGTTCCCCCTCTCTCTGCTGCTCCCCTGCTCTCTGCTGTTCCCCCCCTCTCTGCTGTTCCCCCCCTCTCTGCTGCTCCCCTGCTCTCTGCTGTTCCCCCCCTCTCTGCTGTTCCCCCCCTCTCTGCTGCTCCCCTGCTCTCTGCTGTTCCCCCCCTCTCTGCTGTTCCTCCCCTCTCTGCTGTTCCCCTGCTCTCTGCTGTTCCCCCCCTCTCTGCTGCTCCCCTGCTCTCTGCTGTTCCCCCCCTCTCTGCTGTTCCGCCCCTCTCTGCTGCTCCCCTGCTCTATGCTGTTCCCCCTCTCTCCGCTGCTCCCCTGCTCTCTGCTGTTCCCCCCCTCTCCGCTGCTCCCCTGCTCTCTTCTGTTCCCCCCCTCTCTGCTGTTCCCCTGTTCTCTGCTGTTCCCCCCCTCTCCGCTGCTCCCCTGCTCTCTGCTGTTCCCCCCCTCTCTGCTGCTCCCCTGCTCTCTGCTGTTCCCCCCCTCTCTGCTGCTCCCCTGCTCTCTGCTGTTCCCCCCCCTCTCTGCTGCTCCCCTGCTCTCTGCTGTTCCCCCCCTCTCTGCTGTTCCCCCCCTCTCTGCTGTCCCCTGCTCTCTGCTGTTCCCCCCCTCTCCGCTGCTCCCCTGCTCTCTGCTGTTCCCCCCCTCTCTGCTGCTCCCCTGCTCTCTGCTGTTCCCCCCCTCTCTGCTGCTCCCCTGCTCTCTGCTGTTCCCCCCTACTCTGCTGCTCCCCTGCTCTCTGCTGTTCCCCCCCTCTCTGCTGTTCCCCCCCTCTCTGCTGTTCCCCTGCTCTCTGCCGTTCCCCGCCTCTCTGCTGTTCCTCCCCTCTCTCCTGTCCCCCCGGTATCTGCTGTCCCCCCGCTCTCTGCTGTACCCCTGCTATCTCCTGTCAAGCGTCCCATTGTCGTCGAGGCAAAGACCTCCTTTCCCTACCTCGCTACCCTCTCCCATCCTTTCCCCCCATCCTCCCTCCCATTTCTCCCACCCTGTCAAGCCTTTCCCCCATCCGCTACCCCTTACACTTATGGCCGGACTTTGGTTCCTCTTTAGGTCGCCGGTCTTGCCATCCCTTCTCCCCATCTGTCAATCACTTTCCCTTTCAACCCTATTGTTCACACCCTTGCTCAGGTGCTCTCCCATGGCCCTATGCTTCTACTCGTCACCCACCACTAACCCCCTATCCTTTACTCCCCCCTTTTCCAACCCATAATGGCACCCGTCCTTCGCAGTTCTGGAACTCAGGGTACCTGGGTCAGGTAGCTAAGAGAGTGCAAGGGCAAGTCGTTTTTAGTCAATAGTCAGTTTTATTATGCTGCATCCTACAGTGAAAACTAGCAGTGCAAATTAGGACAACAATAAGTACTTCCGCGTACTCCTTGCTCCTAACATGCTCAACGTTGTTATTCTCATGACCAATACTATGAATAATACAATTGCATACGTGTTTATCAACATTTTCCATAGGGTGAGTTACGCTGTTTTGGATTCGGGTCTTTTGGCGCGTACCATTGGGCTCTTGCAACTCCTGGTTGTAGCCTGTTCGCGCTTGGCGCACTGCCCTGTGTTTTCAGCTCATTTTGCTCCAAGTTGCATCCTAACACTGTACGCTTATATTTTCGAGTGGGTTGAATCAACAAAAAGAACACGCCCCAGAGATCTCTTTCATTCTCAGTCGGAACTGTCGCGCGTGGATTTGGGGACCTTGTCGCACGCGTTCCGAATTCGCCCAACCTCCCGCAGGCGTGGATTATGGTGGGTTCGTTTCTGCCCAGTTGCCCAAAAAGTTCCTTGTCAATTTCGCTCTAGCAACCCAACTTTTTCAAAAGTGCCCCCACTTCAAGAGGGGCTCACTTGAAGCCCCCCTTTGCTATTTTAGCATGTGGTTTTAACCAACACCTACTCCGATTTCCTAGCCTATCTAGAACTCTGGCACATCCACAGAGACTACATCCTCCGCCTTATCATCCGACAGGAAGGGGTTGTCTTCTATAGCTGCTGCACATACACCTCAACTATGGCGGTGGTCCTTGATTGTTAGGAAAATCTCAACCATCTTCAGCCACTCCATGTCGCACTGCACGAGGGCCACTGTCATAAGGTCCTCGAGCTTCCCATCACCCAAGCAGCTGTGCGTCCACGACTTGATCCGATTATGGCGACTGAAGCCCCTCTCGCACTCAACCGTGCTGAGGGGCAGCACGGCGACCGCCTGCCAAAGCCGCACGATGTTGGGGTATGCTCCCTCGTAGTCCGTGCTGTCCAGCATGAGCTTGAAGGACTTGTGAAAGCCGAGATTCGCGTGGTTGGTGTGGAGGAATAGATGCAGCTCTGACACGCAGGTCTTGAAGTTGACCCCTAGGAACTCAGATGGGGGAAATGGGTGGGATATATGGGCGGAAGGGGGGGAGGAGGAGGGGAGGGAGGACGCAATGCGGGAGGAGTTTAGGGCATGCAAGGCAGCAACAATGTGACAGCGAATGAGGTTTACCATGCGGGGGCAATAAGATTTGAAGCGTAATACACTTACCGAGAAGCTAAAAATGGAAATGCTTATCTAGCAGAGCCAACCACTCCCTGACCTTCTTCATTAATGATGCCCAATCCTGGGGGTATACGAGCAGCCGAAACAACTTCGCGCCGTTAAGATCCTGCAGGTTGTCCAACCTGTGCTCCAGCCGTGCCTTTGCCTCCGCCGCATACTCCCTACACAACTTCACGCAGGTCGGGTAGTCCCCCCTGCCTTTCTGACCTTCCCATGGCCCCTCGCTGAGCGTGAAGGTATGCACAGTCAGAGCGTCTTCCTTGTCGACACCTTCGACTGTCACCTCTCGAAACTGGGGGTTGGCATGCTCCTGCAAGAAATTCTTCAGAAGCGGTGACTCCCTGCCGAAAGCGTTTTCGTAGTCGATGTAGCGGACGTCAATCTTTCTGCACACTAGGTTAACCTCGCAAGCGACCAGTGTAATGTCCACTTGAGGTCGGGCGTAAAGCAGAGAAAGAACGACAACAATCAGGGCTTGCGGTTAAACAAACACAAGGTCACTGCTGTTAGAAACCTCACTTGCTTCTTCTGAAACTACGCGTTGAGGTCGTTGAGGACCTCGAGCAAATCTTCCAAGAAGTACACAAGGAAGTGAAACTTGAAACTCTTCACAAGTCCGTAGAGCTTGTGCTGATACTCGTGCAGAAGCACAACTACAGCCGGCAGCAGATGCGCGAACCGCTTCACCGCGCTCCCCCGTGAAAGCCAGCGGACCTCATATATTCCCTGGAGCTCCAGATTCGTGTCACACAGCTCTTCCTGCAGCTTCTTGAAGCGCCTGTGCCAGATCCCGCTCCTTGACAGCAGTTCAGAGACGGTTCTGATGACCTGGTCGATGACGGAGAAGTCTCCAACCTTCGCCGCCGCGTCTTTGGCTGCCAGAGACTCACTGGCAGAGAAGGGGGGAGGGAACACACAGACGCACACCAGGTATGAGACAGTAGAACGTGACATCGCATGCGACTTGGGAACCAACAACCGAAAGACAACCAGTCAAACACCAAACACAGGAGTCAACTCACCGATGGGCGATGCAGTGGCATGACACTAGGTGCCGAATCTTAACACGCAACTGTGTGACGATGCCCTTGTGTTCGCCTACCATGACAGATGCGCCGTCCGTACTTATCCCGACGATCTTCTCCATGTCGATGCCGACCGATCGCATGTAAGTCTCCAGAACTTCAGTGAGGCTTGCTGCATCACATTTTTGCATGGTGAGGAGTGACAGGAACTCGGTACGCACATATGTAAGTCAAATATACTATCAGATGCTTCCCTCTGACACGGTCCGTGCTCTCATCAATAGCGATGCCGAGATAAGGGCTGTTGGCGATGTTCTTCAACTGCTCTTCTCGTAGGTACTTCGATGCAGCCTCGACCAACTCGTTGAATCCGTATCTGCCAAGCATAAACACGATGAAAGAAGAGAGTAATCAGAGATGTTGCATCTCATGGACCACTAATATGCTCGCTCGGTATTTGGAAAAAAAGGCACTAAGATCGAAAAGACATGCCCCGGTAAATTCAAATTCAAAGTTACTCACTCTGAAAAGTAGGCGCCCTTCTGATCCAGAGGGAGGTTGGGCGTCTGCACTGAAGCCATGAACTTGATGAAGCCGACGTAGGATGTTATCGGCGCCTCCGATTGGCACGTGTACACCGCCGTCTTCATGGCGGTGATAAGATGTAGCGTGCTCTTGTCGAGCCCCTCGTACTCGTTTAAGAGAGTTTACCGCAACATCTTCGACTGCTTTGCCATCAGACGGTAGGCGTCGCGGTGGGCGTTGGAGCGCCGGTGAGTCTGGATGCTGTTCTTCTGCATGTCACACCCGCCGCAACTTTCGTTACTGTACTTGATGTCCGCGCCTGAAACTCCGTGCTCGAGGCAAGTGCTGCAGCGCAATACAGGGAAACCATCGTCAGCACGGTCGAGGACAAGCCAAGGGAAGAAACTCTCCCAAGAAGACTTAAAACTTCGGTGCGCTTTTGCAAAAGCAGCCTGTGGATCTTTGGAACTCTCTTGGTTGGCGGGTTCGTGATCCTCGTCATCATCGTCGCCGGCAACGTCGTCGGGTTCCTCAACAGGCACTTTGTCCGTTGACTGAGCGAAGGAGAGACGCTGCTACAGCTACTTCTGCTGCAGGCTGCTCGCTTTCCGCTTTGCGGAAGACGACGTCAAGCCCACAGCAGTTGGGGATGGGGCAGGAGATCCCCCAGAGGTGGAAACCGGTAGAGTAGTGGGAGATGGGAGTGTACGCTCAGGGACATCCGTTATGGGTTTGGTCAGAGGAGGTGACCCAACGCAAGGGGAGGTGGGAGGTGGGCACGGCTGAGCGACTGTGATTGGTGCGCGACGGAGGAAACTAAGGGCTGATCGCGGCGGGGATAGCGGGCGTTTCCACCCACCATCCTCCTCCTCATTGCCATCGTCGGGGTCCATGGCTGTCATCAAGGCGAGAGGAATATGGGAAGCGGGTGAGAGATACAAACACAGAGCAGATTGTATCTCGGTGCTCTCAAGAACAGCTTGAAAGAAACAGTTGAAGAAGAAGTGGTGCCCCGAACACAGGAGAAGGGGATCGACAGATGTGCCCCCTTCTTTCCACCAATCAGGTCGTTTGCCTGCAGAACAGGTCACTGCAGGACCATTTGCTGCCGCGCTGTCCATGCGCGCTGCGAACCCTGATGCTGATTGGTTTGTCTTTTCCTAGAATGCCGCACTCCTAAACTCGCAGGAGCAGTCTCATCGACGCACGCCAGCACAGAGCAGTAATGGCGCTGATTGCGGCATGACTCAGGGGAAAAATCTTGCCTCCAAACAGGGGGCCTGCATGTAGAATCACATCAGGGTATTTCATAAAGGCACTTTTTTGCATCAGGGTGCTAACGCTACACCACTTTTGAAAATCAGGGTCCGGTACAAACAAAGTTTTTTTCATAAGGGTCCAAAACTAAACCACTTTTAAAAATAAGGGTCCAACACCAGCCCCAGCCTTATAGTAAGAGCCGTAAGGGTATTTTACCCTAATATCCTGAGGCCTGATGCGAACACCACCGACTTTGCTGGTCTTCTCTTCTCCGCATGCCACAGCTCCAGCGCTTCTTGCCAGTCGATCTCGTATTTCAGCAGCGAAATCGTCATCAGCTCACCCAGGCGGGCATTGCAGAATGCACCACGGACCCAAGAGTTGAAAACATTCTGCCTGGAAAAACCACGCTCGCACTCCACAGTTGAGAATGGTAACACCGCGCATGCTTGCCAAAGAAGCATGAGGTTGGGACAACGCCTGCTTATGGAACAACCACACATAAGAGGCGTGGAACAATAGAATTAGGAACAAAATAGAGGCATGGTGGGCAAGGAACAATAGAATTAGAAACAAACATACACAGGCAGGGTGGTCAAACTGGCAAAAACAAACATACAGAGGTAGACAGAGCAGCGTGCTTTGGAGGCCCGACTTACCTTCTTGACTCCGTGTTGCCAAGGTAGTTCGTGAGGCCCTAGTAGAAGCCCTCCTCGTTGTGTTGGTTCTGCATGATCAAGGCCCAAGTTGCCAGCTCCTTCTCCGCCTCCTTCAAATCGAACCTGGGGAGCCTATCGTCGAAGATAGCACTGCAGCCATGGAGATACTCCCTCGTCTTCTTCTCCCTCACCGTCTGAAGCCGCGGCCACTTGCCCACCCGAAACAGCTTCGTTGGCCCGAGCTTCGACAGGTCGTCCAGCTGCTCCAGCAGGTTCGTCATGCTCCCCCTCGCGAACTTCGCGCACAACATTTCGCAGTCCAGGTAGTTGCTCTGGTAGACATGCCCCTTGATCTGCCGTTCGTGCATCTGGTACGTGTGTGTCACCGGCTGCCCGTCCTTGTCGACTCCGCGCACCTTCACTCTCTTCGCCCCCCCGCGCCCATACACAGTTAAGAAAGCCGACAGCCACGTGCCGCTTATGCCCGCACCGAAAACCCCGCCGCACTCCAAGTAGCGGTGCCGAAGATCCCCCACCGCCTCGTCGACGTCCTTTGTTATCTCGGTGACATCCACCTGCGGTCGGGCGGGGGGGGGGGGGTGGTGGGAACATGGGGGCGCAAGTCAAGGGACAGAATGTTAGTGCTGATTGCGAAAGAATGTACCACAAGCACACATGCAAGGACTCACCTCTCGCTTTTGAAACTTGAGGTTGAGCTCGTTCATGATGGCAAGGACGTCCGCCAGGAAGAAGAGACAAAACTGAAACTTGTATGAGATGACAACCTCGTACAACTCATGCTTATACTCAAACAGTAAAATGATGGCAGCACCGAGGACCTTACAGAGGCGTCTATCTGCCT